TTGGGTTCGAGTTTTACTTTTACACATTTTTTATTTTTTTTTTTTTATTTGCATTGTAGCGTATTATTATATAGGTATGTGTATTTTTTTACTAAAAAATTAATGTAACTTTAAAATTTATATAATTTTAAGTTAGTGTTATACAATTTACATTATTAAATTGAATTTGTTTGCTATATAATAAATACATTTCAAATTATTTTTTTTACTTTTATCAGGATTTTTATGCTTGCCGTAACGAATTTCGACTGTCCAACAACAATATTACAACAAAAGCATTGTAGTGCTCAACGCCTTATCCACTATGTTATGCTTCTCGTCAATTCGTTCTTATCGATCGGTATATTAACAACAATAAATCTTTAAACATGTTTTTCTCGCGAATGCTTGAGTAGCTCATTCTATGTCTAACTTTAACTCGAATTGGAGGGCTGAACTTATTATGTACATATCACATTCAGAGTAAAATAAAATAATAATATAATCTCTGACGGAATAAATCATTAATTATGATTGTCTTATTTTGAGCCAATATACAAGATATCAATGTGTACAAATTTTATTCTATACGATTGATATAAATATACTTTTCGATTCTCTAGTTCTCTGCATATCAATAAACAGGGAAAATAAAAATGAGGGAACTCTCGCCCAATGAACATATCTTAACCTTGACTATATTGTCAAAGTCATGATCTTAAAGCATTCTAACTGGTCATTACTCGTTAAAAAGTTATTAATAAAACAAGTTCTACAAATGAATTTAATTTTTTCATATTATAACAATTTTTTGTTGTGACGTCTGCCCCACTTCTCTCCCCTGCCTAGAGGCGTTCGACTTTCCACGCAAAGCGAAATCCACCTTATCTCCCCTCCTCCACCTAGGAGCGACCAACTTTCCAACTTATTTCTTATTGTATACTCTCTGTACTTGTTTTATTATAAAATAGAAATTGCATAACACAATTTAAAATTATATAATACTCGAAACATTAATTTTTCAATTCATTGATCTTGTATGTGGTCAAATATAATTGTATATAAAAATTTTTACTCTGGCTGGCAGGACATAATAATATTACTTATTTTTCATTTATTTCATATTTTTATCACTGAATGTTGCTTATATTCAACAAGAAACTAAAATATTAATTAAGTTGTGTATGGTTTATACGATTGCAAAATTCAATAACTTTTTCTTAAATACAAGATACAAATATTTATTCTTAAATATTTTTATCTTGTATTTAGAATAAAACAATACTTATAATGAGATATAAAATCGAATAACGCACATTATACGGAAATGTATAATTCACTTGTGCAATTACAGTAAATTCTGCTTTAATTCTTATTTACGGAATCAAATATCATCTATTAATGAAGATACATTAAACTATTCTGTAGCGATATACTATTCTTCTTCGTATTTACGTACAAATAAGAATTATTACAGTATATACCGGCGTTTTAGTGTAAAACTTTTAATATTTGTAAATTAATTATTAATCTATTTTAAAATATTATTTGTCAACATTGTTATGCACAGTTCTAAATTTTTTAAATAAGTTATTCATTTAATTGGCAATATTGCAAAATTGTAAATTGTGATAATCTTTTTTCAGAGATCTTGCTGAATGTTAGTTTTTAATTTAAAAATAACTATTGCATTTTATTCACAACTATAAATTTGATGATTAAATATTATGATTTATCTGTTAAATTTTGTTACAACTTCAACATGTACGTTTTTTATATTTTTTGTTTTTAAAGGAGCTGTTGCAGGAATACAAAAAGGCGAATTTCCAGATGACAATCAACCATTAAAATGCTATACACTATGTATAATGAAAACAATGCGAACTGTAAGAACAAAAAAAAGTAACTATATATATCCAATACGCCTATTTAATTATTACGATTTTTACTATAAGTTCAATATTGAAAACTGGTGATTCGATCAAAAATAGGAAATATTTGTTTTAACAATAACTAAGAATATGAGACAGTTTCCAATATTTAAAAATATGTATAGTTAAGATTAAAGATTAAACTATTCATTTAACTACTTACAAACGACAAAACAATGTTGAGTGTTAAACCGTATTGGGTATAATTACCTTACTTAATATAATAATAAATAAAATATACAATTAAATATAATTACATACTATTTAAATGTATCTTTTTTATAATTAAGTTCAAAAATGGACGCATAGATGATGGCATGATGATTAAACAAATGGATCTAATGATGCCACCTGACATGGCAGGTCCTTTAAAAGTGTCTTTGACTAAATGTGCAGCAGAACGTAAGTTTAACTTTATGAAATAAAGATTGAAATAAATTTTAAATAAAGATAAAAGAATTTAAGGAGGAATTTAAGAAAAGAAAAAGAAAAGAGGAGAATGTACAAGAAAAAAAAGAGAAAATTATCAAATTAAAATCTTTCACCTTTGACGGCATCAAAAAATCGATTTTTTTGCTGGTTTTTATTCCTGTGTAAAATATTCTTGTAAAATGATTTTTTGAGATTTGCAGTACCATATTACAAATACGTAAGGACACACGAGGTCCTCCAAGCGTTTACCGAAGTAAAACAGTACTTCTAGGCACTATTGATCATCAAGTTATTACTCAAATTACTACTCAGAAGAAACCAATAGATATCCGTTCTTATTTTTTCTTTGACATTTTTAGAAGAAATAACTGCGACTTTCTATATGCTACACAATTTAGAAGAAAAGGCAGAATACTGTTACAACTACTTAAATTTCATTCTTTGTCATGCATCGCGTCGGTCACACAACCTGTATTTCAATGACGGTTTTACAAATTAATTTACTGAAAGTAACAAACATCTTGAGAATCAAATAAATAGCAAAGATATATATATCGATCAAAAGGACAGCACGTAAAGAACATAAATCATCGCACGTTATTTTCCTCAAAAAAAGCCAAAACTGGCGAAAAATACTTTTTATGAAGAATTAATTATGACAAAGATGAAAACCTCCTTAAAATCTTGTTTTTTTAATCTTAAAAATAAATTTTTCATTAAATAAAAGAGAATAATAAATAATTTTTGCAGTTTTGCAAAAATCTAATTTATCACGATTATCTTCAACAACTTCACATAGAGATTTTTATTAAAAAATAATTTTCATCTATTAATTAATTAGTATAAAAATAAATTCCAACATAAAAGTAGATGGTATAAATAAATTCTTTTGTTTTTATAGCACCCGCTGGCGATGATTGCGAAACAACTTATCAATTTGTAAAATGCAGCTATCAAACGGATCCGGATCACTTCTTCTTTCCTTAACCAATATCAAACGCAAATAATTATGGAAATAGAATATGATATATTATATATAATGAAAATGTGTAATTACGTTTAGCTTTATGTAAATTGTAAAATTGTATTAATTTCAATTCTTTGTGTCAAGACAACTCGGTAATAATCGTGATAATAAATTTGTAAACTGATAGATTTGTAAAATGATAGGACAAAGTGCAATATACAAAACTATATACTCGTATAAATATACATAATTATATGTGAATAATAATAATAATAATAATAATAAGCAATGTGCAATTATATAAGCATTATTTAATTATTAAAATTAACTAATTAATTTTAAACACCGCAGCATTACAATAATGAAATAATAAACGGTCATTAACGATGATTTGTTTAAAAGTAATAAAAATCTCATTTTAAAAAATTCACTAAAATAAAGAATATCAAGTACACAAAAAAAACATTTAAAAGTGTATGCATCATAAAATAAGTATTTGTTTTAAAATATGTATAAAACTCTAATTAATTAAACAAATTAATTAAACAAATATAAATCTAGAAAATATTTTTAAAAATACTGTATAAGTTAAATTAACAATATCTTATTTAATATTTCTGTAACTCTATTGTGATTTCATGCACTTGATCGTAATTTATTGAAAATTTATTGAAAACCGTAAATTTTTAAATGCAGTTTTAATTCCTACGTTTACGCAGTGACATTGTATAACTTTATTCTGTCTTCATTAATTGTAACAAATTAATGAATTATATTTATAATAAAAGAATATATAAATCAAATAAAATTTGATCTTTGATTATATTTTTAATATAATTTTAATTATTAACTTTTTCTACTTAAT